ACTCTTGAATGCATTTCATTCCAAGATTACTTTCTTGCATGAAGGTCCCAGTCCTCAAAGTGCTTCTTTAACAGCCCTTTTTTTTTCAGAGGATTTAATGCTACCACCCATCTTCTTATAGGATGTTACAATATAATGGATAATTTATTTACGTTTTTGCTAATAGCAAATAAAAAAAGAATCTCTTTTACAAACGAATCAAACAATTACGACATAGAAAGTATTTATTCACTGTTTCTGTTGTAGCTTCCATTGGTGCCAACTTAGGGGTAACCAGTATTGATGTAAAGCAAACTACAATTTCCCATATAAATAATTAGGAAAATTTACTATGAAATGAAAATCCAAGGCTGTGTTTTGTACTGTGATATGCACTCCAGATCTGCAAAGTTTTTTCTTCATTAGGCAAGTTACTACCCTTATGCCAAGAATAAATAAGAGCTCTGATATATGTTTCAAAATGAGAGCCTCATTTATTGCTTATCCAAATAGTACAGAATAGCAGAGTATACAAGTTTTAGGATAGACTCTCTGACCCAGTAAAAGAAACAACTGTAATGTATTTAAGACTCTAAACCACTGCAGAGGAACAATGTGGATACCTGTGTAACAGCAGAGTTACCAATCAGCAAAGAAAGCAGGTGGTGTGTTCTCAGACCAAAGAAAATAGAAAACTTAGATTTAAACTCATAAAAGAATAATCTTTGCTTTAGTAAGCTAAAGGGATCCAGTGGAGCCTTTCCAGATGGAATTAAACAAAATCTTGGATATAAGACTCAAACAGAGATATCACAATGCAAATAGCAGGCTTTGTCCTTATAAAGAACATCTGTTGTGAAGTTGTTTACATTCCTACCAAAGTGGAAAAGGGTATCACTAATTCTCCATTGCAGCCAGACATATAATGGGGGAGTACAAAGTTACTGCTTAATATTTTTTAATAAACATACAGAGCTTTTCATTAACTCACAGTTTTTTCACCTGAAAAAAAAATAGGGATTTGGAACAAAGAGAAACATTCACATTTCTCATAATACTAATTTTCATATAGTTTTCTGGGGATTTATTTCTCAATTTCCCATTATTTTATATCTTATTACATGAATTTTGTAGTCTATTTCCCTCCCGTTACAAGGAGGAAACAGGGTGTCCATTGATGACTGCCTTGCTGAGCACTCTACTAGAAATGGAGAGCTTCCAGCCTTATGGGTCAGCAGTTTGCTCTCACTCTTCCAGAGATAAAAACTAGACTGTTTTTAGCCTGAGATCTTCAGGAAATATGAGATAGGCCATAAATTATAGGTTATTACTGCATTTTAATGTTTCCCTTCTCTGTTGTCCTGCCCTAGGCTTTCAGAAGTAGTTGAGGTAGTTAAGTGGCCAGTGAGAGCAGGAGAGCCAGCACACAAAATGTATTGAAAACACTTTATTTGATGTCACCAAGTTGCACTGCTTGCTGATTTTCCGAAATTCTAACAAAGCTTTAAATAGTAGAGTTAAAGCCTTGCTGTTTAGAAGTGGCATTATAAAATTCATTTTTAGTAACTTTGATTTTTTAATGCTTATTTATGATAAATAATTATGGTGTTTCTCACTGTTTGTGGTTCTCTCCAGTACAATTGCTGCTCAGCATTATATTCCAAGTGGTTAGAGTATTCTCATATATATTTTTGTTTTTAACATATACACACACACACATATATAGGCTATTTCCAGTACAGGAAATAACACTTCAGCACTAAATGCAAAATGGCAGCTGTGAATTTATGCCACAAAACAATTTGGTTTTATTCCTTCATGTGAGGTAGAAAAAAGTTAGTCCAAAACCAGTTCTCAAATACAAGGACCACCAAGAGCAAAGGAAGACCAGAGAGATGTAGGTTGGTACGAAAGTTTGCTATAAATAAAACTGTTCAAAAGTAAGCAGTACAGTTTGTATATAGAAAAAATAATACTAACAGTGCTTAAGACCAAAAGACAAAATTTATTTGTAACTATAATCCTACAATTTCTAATTCTTATTATGCTTTTCTTTTTCTTTTCTTTTTCTATGGTGAAGACCATATTGCATCATCTAACTTCTACCCTGTAACTCCTTTCTTTTTGCCTCTATTTTTTGGCTTTTAGAAAAACAATTTATGAAACAATCTGAATGTATGATTTAGAAATAAATTACAGTAATACATTTTTTATAGTATCTTGAAATTGCAAGCAAAATCTTTCTTTTTTCCTTCCTACACAAACTAGGGAAGAAACTTGTAAAAGAAACTTCACTATTAGCACAGCAGCCTGATTACAAAGGGCAATTAGTAATTTTGAAGAACACTAAAAAGACATGACCTGATTACAGCACAGTGATTAAGATACAGATATAGATTAAGATTAGGATGTACTGATATGGCCGACAGAATAAAATTAAAGTCACCTTTCTAGCAGCTAGTGATCTACCAAAGATCTTAGGCTTTGCAGAAGTTGGAGTTGAGTGAAGGTAATGCATGTTTTGCTTTTACCCTGAAACTTTCAGGATCTCATCCCTTTCCATGGGAGCCAGCTACTGCACACCTTTGATCTGACAGACTTGATCCTGATTCTGAAACCACTGGTATATGTTTCACATGTGTGGTTAAATTTACATAATCCCGAGTTATTACTATTGTGACTAATTGACTATATAAAAATCAAGCACATGGCAAATAACTGCAAGAGTCAAAAGCTGTGAAGCTTAATGGCAAATACTTGCACCACTGAATTTTTTTCTGAAGGAAACTCTTAGAGAACTGTTAATCATGCTGAATGGTCATTCTCAGACAGTGAGAAGTGCAGCTGGAGTCAGACTCCTCTTTCTGGAGAGAACAGCTCCTTTGCCATAATTAGAGGCGCTGAAGCACCCTCCACAAAACACAGTCATTCCTTTAATAACTGACACTGAACTCTACCCCAGCCTACAGCAGCCTTCTCAGCTTCAAACACAAAAGCAGTCAAGTCTCAAAAAGTTCAAAGAAAGCTTTTCATTTTATTTTCTCCTTGATCCACTGATAGAGCAGTTCATTTTCTTGAATTTTGTAAAATGACTTTTTGACTCATCAGACCTGTGTAACAAATCACTGTCTCAATCACCAAATGTTCCTGTTTGACTCATCTGCTTTTCCTTTGGCCTTTGGGTAGGAAGCTTCACTTCTGAAACATTTTCTAAATTCACTTTTGTGAACTCTTCCCCCTCAGTAGCACTTTGTGCCATTTTAAAAAAATAATTGCATTTCCTGCAACGTAATGTGCTAGTTTCAGGGTTTTAAATTTCATCAGAACCCACATTTTCTTTCTTAGAGCAATGTCTTTCCTTTAAAACCCATCACTTTCTAACACACTACCAGCTGTAACATGGTGCCTTTTAAGCAGTAAATGCTATAACATAAGATTTTTCCAGAATTCTGTTTAATTCTGCTAAATTAGAACAGCTTTCTATTAATGATACATTTGTACTCTCATGTATATTGTTTTGGATTTTGATGGTAAAAGACTTTCTAATTTCTGAACTTTGCTTCTGCAGTCTATGCTTAGACAGTATCTCCTCTGAGGAAAACTATAACACCACAGGGCTGTCAATAATCCTGATATTTTTCAGTGTTAAAAAGGCTGGAAATCTATAGAGTTTCATTCCTCTAGGCTTTTTCTGCCTCAAAGCAAAATAGGCAAACTTCACATAGTTATCCTCCACAGAGAATGTAGTCAATCTGTCCCAAGATGTAAAAGCAAACCTTGTAATGTGAATTACGTTTTCAACCAGGTGCTTATATTTCCACGTGCACCATCCAGGAATTCAGAGTATTTTAAATTTTTACACAATTATGCTCCAGAAGAGCATGAAATGGGCTGTGTTGTGATCTTTGGGCTAACTGGAACACAAACACTGCCGATTTTGCGCTCATAGTGAAATGTAAATAAGCTGAGTTTGATTGCTGTAATTTCCATAGAGTCAATTTTACCATGCTCTCCTGTGTGACAGCAGATATTAGCCTATTTCCTTTCTCAGGTTAGACATCAGTCTTTACAAGATCAGTAACTCTGAGCAGATGAAAGGGTGGTGGTCACTCCATAGAGAAAGGAAGTGATAAAGAAAATCAGCTTCTGAATGACTAAACCAGTATGGACCACATGGTTCTAGAGAATTAAAAAGTAAGAGCTGTTTGACTAAAACTCCCCAGATCCTGAGTCAGAATCAGTTTGACAGTTATGCCCGAGTTTGATGTGATTCAGTGTCATTTGGCTTTTTCCTTATCAAATATCTTCTGTCTCCTGCTCCTCCTGTGCTGCTTCCCTGTGGCCATAGGCCCAGAAAAACCTCTTGTGAGAGTTTTTCCAGTGCAGCTTTCTCAGGCTTAGCCAGGCTTTTTTCCCAAAGCTAGCTGCCTTCCTCTAATGTAAAGATAAAAAAAGAATTAATAACAAAGATAAACACCTGTTGGATACGTGTGAGAAGCATGGGAAAGAGGTGTCACTTTCTCTGGACCAGTCAACTGTATTCTGTCTTTGGAGTTGCAAGAGACTCTACCTAAGCAGTGTGTTTTACAATAAACTCGTCTCTTTCCTATCTTCAATGACCATGTAGCAGTGTGTCTTATTTCCACCGCTTCCAAAGGGTTAAATCCTTATCCTGGCAGCTACACTTCCATGCTTGCCTGTTCCCTGTTTTCCATGTGGGCTCCCTTAGCCAGTCACCAACATTTCCTTGAGGTTTGCTCTCGCCATCTTTTCTGCAGCCCTCACGTCCCTCTCTGTCCCCGTGTCCCCTCAGCCTCCCCTCTGTCCCCGTGTCCCCTCAGCCTCCTCCCTGTCCCCGTGTCTCCTCAGCCTCCTCCCTGTTCCCGTGTCCCCTCAGCCGTGTTCCCGGGCCTGTCCCCAGCCCAGGGAGGCCGAGGCCTGCGGGCAGAGCTGTGGGGACCCTCCGGGAGCCCTCAGAGCAGCACGGCCCAGAGAGCCCACGGGCTCCACCAGAACCAGGAATGAACCTGAACACTTTGTTGCAGCAAATCCAGTTCACAGAGAAACAGGCGAGGGAGAAGAGGAACTTCATCCAACAAGGTCAGCCCTATGGGCGCCATCCCCATTCCCAGAGGATGAGTCCCACAGGAGTGTACTGAGGGGCCTTGTGTCAGGGAGAGCTTGGCAGAGCCAGCACGGCTGGTTCTTGCCACCAGAACATTTCTATAAGGATGTAACTTTTACAAACTGAGCACTCTTACAGGTGGTTGTTGTTGTCTTGCAGCTAAATGCGACATAAATAGAGGTTATGAAAAAATTAACCAAATGAAAGAAGAGCTGAGCGCTGCAAAAATTAACTTAGAAACCAAGGTAAGCAGGCATATTTATAGTGTATATAATAATGAAATACATTGTTTATGAATACACAACCTATTCTTTCAGGAATAGATCCATAAGCACTTTTCGAGGAGTGTGCTTCACCTGCACTGTGCCTTTCTGTATTAAAAATGTGTCTGTCACCATCCTTCCTCCCACTGATCTCGCCCTTGGGGCTGGCCCCTGGCTATGTTCAAGGCAGAGCTGATTTTTGGGGCCTGGTGTGAGATACTCTGCTTCAACAGCCCTGCAACTTGTTACAGCACTTTCCTCCAGTGTACAGAAGCCAGCCCTTGGTTGCCCAATACCATTTAGTAATGGCCTTTCACAGAAAATATATGGAAATATTCCCTATGCTTATTTCACAGGATCTTGAGTCATATACTGAAGATCTTTCTGTGAGCTTACAGTTAAGGTTTACAAGCCATGAGGTTTTTCTAGGGAGGCCAAAGACAGAGGAAAGTTTCTGAATCTATTTAGTGATTTTTTTACTCTTTCCATTTAATCAAAGTGCAGAAGTCTTTTCAGATTAAGCCACTAGTTTTGCAGAGTTTTTCACCAATAACTCCTGCAGTTGCAAATTATTTAAAAATCCATTTGCTTGTGTCTGAAAATTAAGTCTAAATACCCTCCCCTGTGCTCTTAAGTATCTGTGCTGACAGAATGTGTGTTCACAACAGGAAAGCATGGGGAGCCTCCTTTGAAGTCAAAACTGTTGGATCCTATCACTTAAATAAACAACTTCAAGAACCTTTGGGAAATTGCCTCTTCTTGTTGTGAAAATAAGTGTTTGGGGGATGACTTTCATCCTTCCTAAAACAGTCTCTTCTGCCTTTTGTAAAGATATATAATAGATAGATAGAATGAATAACAACACTACTGAGAAGGGATCAGAATAGAACTCATTTACAAATATTTACTGGTTACAAATTGAGACTATAATCATGTAGGCAGTTATTCAGATGCTCACATTTATGCATGCCACAATCTCAGAGCCCAAATGTGCTTTAGAATAGTAATTTATTTATCCAACACAGATTATATCCGGATGTTGCTTGTTAGGTGAAGTCTTCAGTAATCTTACTCATAAGTTTATTTATGAGCATCACAATTTTATGTTTATACAACTAAATTGTTATTGATGCATTGTGATTTATAATCAAGGTTTATGTGGTAGGTACAGAAGGTCCCAAGAGTAGAACCATTATTGTAAATGACTAATGGGAAGAAGAACTGTTCCTAATTAAATTTTATGTGCTTTACTGACCAGTATTAATAATATTCTCACTGATGTCCACAAAAATACATTTTACTTGCTTGTCTAGTTTGACGTTGATTCATTTATAGATAGGAAATGATACAGAAGAGTAGTGGAATAGAAAAATGCATTTCAATCAGACTATTTAGGTTTAAAGATTATGAAGTTATTGACATTATTTAAAGTAATTTATTTTTTACTACAGGAATTAGGTTTACATATGTTTGCAATAATTCATGTAATTCAAATAATACTAAATAATGCTGTTCACCTACTGCAGCTCAATTTATCCCACAAAGTAACTGCAGTTCTTTATAAGCACACATATCCAACCACGTGCATGCACAGCAGCTGATGTCTGACCAAGATGATGAGACTGAGTTCAGAAGTTTTTTGATATCCATTTCTCAGACACTGCCTGTGGTCAATCAAAAAGTCCTAGGCAATGCAATTTCCCCCTCTCTTCTGTAAAACCAGGTAGCAAGTAATTAGAACCGAAATTACAGCATTTTGCTTTTTGTAGCTCAATGAATTCTTTAAAGAATTGCTTGCAAATGCATAGATGAATTCAGCATCTTACAGATGGAGAAACTACACTGTAGCTAGTTATGTACAGTACTACAAATACAGTGGTGTAAGACACCTACTCTCTTTGAATTAATATGTAAAAAATTCTGAGCCAAGCATGACCTCACACTTAGTGTGCTCGACATACCAGGGATGAGGAAAAAATCTAGTCCTTTCCTTTCCTACTCTCACACTCTAGTCTTCAGGCATTTCATTCCACTAATCTATTTTGATCAGATGCACTTCATCTGTGCCCTCTCCACAATCATGTGCATTATTTAACTATAAAATATTTTCATTTTTACCAATACAATACCACTCTTAATTGGTCTTTTCTGCTTCTACACACACAAATACTTGTGTATCAGCCTGAGTGTTCAGTTTAATTCCTGATACTTCTTACCCTGTGCCTTTATTCTCTGCGGGCAAATCTAGCTTTACTTTGCCTATTCATTGCTCTGAGTCAAGAGAACGTGACACTCCATCAAATAAATTATTCTCCTCCTTTAAACTCTACAACACTTGGTTGTTTCCTATTTATTATTGTTATCGTTTATCCCACCATATATCTGCACTTAGGTTAGACAGTGATACAGTAGATGTGCTAGAAAAATGAGAAGTCTTCAGCAAATTTTGAAAATGCAGTGGTTGAACAGCATATCCTCCTATCACATAAACTAATGGTTAAAATTAATAAAACTCTAAATAAACCTATGTGCAAAATCAAAGATTAAGGCTTCGGGGAATTTATGTTCAAACTGTCAGTAACCACTGAGCTAACTCCCATTACTCTTCCTCAGCTAAAAATTCCAAAAAATGTGCTCAGGAAAGTCTCCTGCTCTCCTGTGCATATTCCAGAGTAGCATTGCAGAGTGGATGGCATGTACAGCCATTCAGCCAAAACCAGGATGCTGGACCCCTGTCCCCCTGACTTTATTCTGATATTATTGTCTCGTTTGGTTTGTGATGAGCTTTACACAGTGACATGCAGAATGGTGGATTATGTTGGCTAAAGAATCCTATGTGGTCAATATTTTTCCTGGAAAAAACTTCTCTTAAACCTAGCAGATTTGAAAATGCTATTTTAGATAGATAGAGAACCCCTAAATGAGTCTTTCAAGGAAAGGAGATTTTTCAAAAACTTAGCAGTATACTGAAAGGTTATTGAGGGAAAAAAAAAGAGCTGTTATGCTTTTGTTGGTCCAGCAGCTCTGCCAGCTCTTTTTAAACTAGACCAAGTTCCTTGTGTACAATTTCAGAGGATTTGAAACAATGAAATAATAATCTCACTTTGTAATTTTTTTTTTCCTTTTGGAAGGTCCAGCATCTGTCTCTAAAGCAGTTCAATGTAGAAATTCTGAAGAAACGTGAAGACAGCTTAGAAAAACAAAAAGCTGAACTTATTAATCAAAGAACCAGTCTTCTTAACATCATGGTATGTTTCCAGATGTGATATTTACACAGCCTTTTCCTATTGTACAAGAGCAATCAGCTTTAAAATTTGAAAATCTGGAAAACCTAATGTTTTAAATCAGGAATATATGGTTTTTTTTTAAATTCTAGTATATGTAACAATGTAAACGTAGGTAAATTCTCGCATTTAATTTAAACCACGATCTTAGGGTAGTGTATGCTGCATTTTATCTCCAAAGCTGATTTTATGTTCTTGACTTCATTTTCTAATGTTTACTGTTGTATGAGTGAACTCCAATTCTGACAGATTATTTCCTTTGTAAAAGTAAGCTAGGTAAGCCTTGCCTTAAATTGGATTGCCTCATCCACAGTCAAAAATATTGAAAAGGATCAAAGGAAAACCCCAGGGAGGCCCACACCACATTTTAGCAAATGTGGAGAGTTTAACAATCCTGACATAGCACACAATCTCTTTGATGCCAGACACACCTCACCACCTCTTCAAAGGTAGCTACTTAGGAGAAGTTTCCCAGTTCTCTCAGATGTTAACCTGAATATTGCCTTCCTCTTACTTTGTTGAGGCTTCTTGGATCTGTACATATGAACAAATGCATTCTTTTCTGCTTATGTATTTGCCTTTCAAATCAGCAGAGCTAAATTTTAAACATTCAGTATAAACCACCAGTATTAAACCTAAATCTTTAGGCAGATATCTTTAGGCAGATATCTTTTTAACTAAGTCATATTTCTGCATCACCCAAAGTATTCCCAATATGTATGCAAAGTTTGATAGATGTTATCTTTTCTTTTTTCCTGTATATAGGGGTCATTTAATTCTATTTAATTTAGCAATCAATTAAGATTTCTTAGAAGGAATTTAATATAACCTTACTCTTTCAAATATTTTTTTTCTCCCAGAAAATTTATCTGTGATTTCCTATCAAAAATAGCATCCTTGATAGTTATAAAAAGAGTTAAACTACACATTCAGTAGAGGGTTAAACAACACTTTTTTTTTATTTAATAAAAAGCGTTAAAAAAGAACTGTCATACTATTCTAGTGACTTTAAACAGAATTTTCTAATTTCAATATGAGAGCTGAACTGAAAAATCTTCTGGTTCAAGTCTATAACAATGTAGTGATTTTTAAATGCTCTGTTATCAAGAATCAACCCTTCGTTTTTGCAGGAAAATAAAGTTTAAAATAACAAGCATAATGATAGAGCTGTAGACTATTTGCATGTTCTTTTAAGAAAAAAATATTTTCTTTACATTTACATTTATTTTTTGCTTATTTATTTACTTTCCTGCTACAAATTTAAGGATAAAAAACAACTGTGTGTTTCTGTCTGCCTAGCTTAACAAAGACTTTCATTTTTTTCACCTGAACATTCAGCCTTCTCTTTCTTTTCTTCAGGCAGATACAAAGAGAAAAATTACTGAAGAGGAAGATAATTTTACCAGAGAAGTAACAGAGTTTAACAATGAATACAGCCTAACAAGTAACAGAGATCTTCTTATTAAAAAGAAAGTCAAGACTGAAATAAATGATTTAGAGAATGAGGCAGCTCTGTTGAAAAATGGTAAATCTTATACTAAACCAGTTTATCTTGGATTGACACAAATCGATAAAACATAGATTTACAAACCAATAATTTTCCTTTCATTCCCCCACTGTCCAGAGCTTCCTTTTAGCACTGAACTTAGTGTGGTCTGAGATACCAAGCATAATTAAAGGCTTTTCTGTTCCCTATCCTCTTCAACCTTTCTGATGTGAGAAGTAGCCAACCTGAAGAAGCAGCTCCCAATGTCTAATTCAGCCAGCACAGAGCTCAAGATCATACACAGCAACTGAATTAGGTTTAGAATCACCTGTGGTTGAGCTCTGTACATTTCCTTAGCTTCAAAAGAATTATATACACAGATGCCCTGTAGGATTGGTCCTTCACTGCCACAGTGTAGCTTGATTTTCAGTTAAGGTACAGAGTATGGGGTCTCTCAGAGCACAGGGTCACACTGCAGGGCAGTCCTTCCACAAGGAAATTGGGGTCGTCATGGATCACAGGCTGAACATGAGTCAATGACATCAGAATGTCAACACCACACTGAGACACAAACAGAATTCTGACCTCTAACACATGAAAATAATTTCTCACTCTATTTGGGGCAGTTAGGCTCTGAGCTGGAGTGCTGTGCATCTCATTTTGATCTTAAACTTCAAAAAAAAAAAGTGTCGACCAGCTGGAGAGAATCTACATAGGACCAGTGAGAGTGATCAGAGTTCTGGAGCACATGAGAAGGAAGAAAATGAAAGAATTGTGACTATTTAAGCTATTAAGGAAAAGATTGATGAAAGACAGATATCAGTCTTGAAATTGTTTAAATATCCTGTAGAAAGGAACTTAATATATTCTCTATAGCTATAGTGAACTGAATAAAAAGCAACAATTGTAAAGCACAGTAAGGGAGAGTCTGTCTGACAGCTTAGGAATCTTCCTAAGAACAGTGGACAACTGAAGCCTTATAAGATTCCTTTACCATAGGAATTAGCAGTGTCCATTACTAAAGGTTTTCAAAAAAAGGTGAAACCAGCATTTTTCAGAAACAAGAGGTACAGCTGATCCTGCCTTCAGGAGAAGAATGCAGCAGATGACCCCTCAAAGTCCATTCCAGCCTCATGATCTGTCAAGTGACAGCATTTTCAATTCCCCATATCTGCTGTAAGGTTACTGAAAAAAAACTGTCCATTGGAGTTTGCACTAGGTAACATCTTTCTTATTTCCTGTGGCTACAGTACTAATCTACAACTGAAAAGTCTGTATTTGGTGTCATTTAAATTTTACACATTCAGGCAGAGATAGGCAGTTAAATGATCAGTAGTGCCTGAAGGGTGACCAAAATTCTTCTCAAAGTTCAGCTGAAGTTCCATCCTTTAACTGTGCCTTTCTTGAGGCACAACTTGTCTTTCTGTTTGCTACGCTCCTGGGCACACTGACAACTCTGAAAAGTTTAAGCAATTCATAACAAGGAAATTATGTGAGGACTTCCAGTTGGTAGAAAAACAATCACAATTAATTCCAGATGCTGTCTAATAGTAAGGTTCAAGTATATATAACACCAAAAATACTAAGAAGGGGTCTTTTTTTTCATTCCTGCTGAGAGGTGTCTGTTCTCCACCTATTCAATCAGTCATCTTCCTTTCTTCATAGCTGAATTGATTCTAAAGCAAAACATTCTTTTTATGCCCAGACAACAAAATATGTTGAACAGCTCAATAACGTTAAAAAAAAAAAATCATTTTGTTTCATAGCTATGAATACATTATATGACATATAATTTCCCCTGAACTGTGTTATATATGAATTATTTTAGTTTATTTTGGTTTTATATTTAAGGTTCTTTTGACTAGCCGAAGATTGGTAGAAGTAGTTAAGAATATTTAAGATTGTATCATGAATGCTAAAACTGTGATGCATTTTAATTTAAATCATATTTTTTCTTAGAAATGGAGTCAATGGAACATAAAAATGTTCAGTTAAATGCACTCCAGCTGCAGAAGAATGAATTAAAGCAGAATTTATTTACTCTCCAAAGTGAGCTGAAAGGTGTGCCTGATAACTATTTCTTGTGATAATTATTTCTAGCTTGACAAATGGTTTTGAAAAATGTTTTCTGTCAATTTTCTTTTCTCAAGCAAAATGAATCCTAGTAACAATATTTTAATTTATTTATACAATATGTAAGACATCATTTTTAAACATGATTATAACAAATATTCTGGATTACAACGAGATTTAATTGAAATGTCATTGATACTGAGGTCCAGCATTCTGCTGAATCATGAGTTGTAAATACGAAAGTTTTGCTTTTGCTTGTAAGTCATACTTAAATGTAGAATTTAATGCTTCAAAGAACTTAAAAACAAACCAAAAATATTGTTTAAAATCTTCTGTGCCAAAGATGATCACAACAATAGGGAATATTTTGAAATCTGAATTAAAATAATGTGAATGAGTGCTTTAGTATCTTTTCTTACCAATATCTAAGTAATGTGGCACAGTAAGAGCTAAGAAAAGCAGTAAATACAGTCCTAAATTGTTTGGGAAGAGGAGTAAAATTTTCTAGATTGCAATATGTGATTACAATAATAATAATAAAATAATTCATTTTCTTTATTTAGATGCCTTTAACCTTCAGAGAGTTTCATGAAGAAATATTAGAAAATATAAATTTAGAATATGTAGAACATCTTTGAATATGGATCATTAATATATATTTATAGGGTAATTCTGATTTCACATTTAGACCTTGAGAAAGTAATCAGGGAGGCTGAAACAATAACGAAAGATTTAGAAGCAGAAAAAGTTCAAGTCACTGAAAAACCTCAGACTGATCCTGAATGCTTAAGGTAAAAGCCTCATGTTAATTAGCTCTTAATTTAATTTTAGGATTGTAACTGCAGTCTAGTCCTGGTAACAACGACTATTTTACCTTTCCTGTACAATATTCCTCCGGAAATCAGAAGAACCATTCATTTTTTGACAACCCCAAGTCCTGTTGTTGATTAGTGTTTCACCCTCACATACATACTCCATTGACACCAAAACTGCAAGTGTTTGCAGGGCTGGCAGTCAAGCACAGAGGGAGAACAAATTGCTGCTGCTTGGGTGGATGTTCAGCTCCTGGGGTCTTGTGAAAATGGTGGTGGTGCACCAAGTACTGATGAACCACCCAGTGCTAAATTTATTTTGAGTCCATTGCCATGGACTGGACTGACCACAGTAACCTCCTTGGGCACCTGGGGCCTCTATTGGAGGTTCAACACAGATTTATTTTCTCTGTGATCTCTGCTATGAATTCTCGTTTGCCTTCTAACAAAGCTGATTTTAAAGAAAATTTTGAAGACTTTACCAAGACAGAAGAGAAGACCTTGCACAGTCTCCCTTAACCGTGAAGATTTCTTCTCAGGATCTGAGTGGCAACAATTCATTTCTTGTCAGTTTGCTTAAGTGAAACATTAGGTTTTCACTTCACAGAAAATAATGAAAGGTTTTTTTTTAAATCTCCAAATGCTTAAAGCCCCATATCACAGAATTGACCACCCTTTTCCTATTTTATGATGGTCCAGATAAAAGTGCCTGGGAATATTTAAAATATTTAATAGACAATGCAGAGGAACTCCTCCTTATAAAGCTAGTCCAAAAGATTCTCTAACAGAAATTAAGGAAAACACAACTTATATTACCATCACAGGTTTTTTCCCTATCTATCCCTAAGCTTCTAACAACAATAAATAAACATAATGGGATTCTTTTAATCTGAAAACTTTGAGTGGGAAGTTACAACTTTGCAGAGAACCCTGTGCAGTTTTCTGAAAGATGATTTGGTAATGACCCATTTTTTGCTGAATATCAGTTTTTGAAAGAAAATTATATATCAGCCCTATTACTAACTCTCTTCAACCTCTTGCATGGTGTTGAGACATGGCCAAAATCCCCTCAGCATAAAAATTAATTAGCTCACAATCCTGCATACAGTAGCAAAAAATTTGCATTCAACATATACATAGAAGACACAGTGTAAATAATAATAACAGTAACGATTCTCCAGGACAGCACGTTATAATTCACTTCTTTACATTATTCATTCAATCATGATATATTGGGGCCGGTGATACATGAGGTTGTCAGCTTCCTTCCAACTAACATACTTCCCTTGGAATAGTTTACTACCATGATGCCACTGAATATCCAAATTTGTGTAATTAGTTTTCTGTAATAGGTTTCCTGTGTGGAAGGTACAGAAGTAGCCAACGTTTTCATACTTTTAGTTCCCAGCTCTGCCACTGAGATCCTAGGGATCAATCAAATCCCATGTGTGTCTGTCTTTCTATGCAGTGAAATTAACTCACAGCTCTGCAGATTGACACTTGGGTTTTCTTTGGGTGGAAAACTAGATAAAACATATTAAATTCTATTAACTGCTAAATCAGCAAGTGTCATTTACAACCAAAGCAAGAAGGATGATGAGATTTTTTTTATTTCATGAAATGCCTCCTTTTATGGTCAAGATAAGCTATTATTTGATAATTTCATGTAGTGCAAAATATAAAGTGCTTCTATGCTATTACCATTATCACAAAATGCAAGCCCTTCTTGAAGTCTAGTAATATATTGAACATATTTTCTTAAAATTGAAACTTTTCTTTCATTTCAGATACTGGAAAATATGTAGAACAGATTTGCCTAAATCATATTTTTATCTTGCACTTGCTTTTGATCAGAAAAGCTCAATGCTTCATAGAGAGAGATAGCCCTGAAAAAGTTAACTCAGACGCCAGAAGCAACAGAGCTGTGCTACTGTATTTCCATGTCAGCACTTATAGATTCTGCTTTTCAGTGGAGCCAAGCAGGCAAGCCTCCTTTCTCTACCTCCCTGTCACTGCTGGGCTCTTTAGAACCATCCAAACTTTGACTCCTACAACTCTAGCAGTTGTTTGAGTTTTTTTCAGTTTAACAAAGCCTACTCGCCACTTCTTGGTTTGGACTACGAAATAAAGAGAATGAAAGGGGATTCAAACTATTACACACTGTAAATAGTGCAGCATATAAAAAATAGTCCCCTGGCAGGTATCTGATCACTCTCTGGTACCTCTGTATCATCAAGGGGATGGATCTGCACAGTGCTGCACAGTAAGAGAGCAAAAGGCAAAAAACAGAAGTTGAAACAAGAGGATTTAGAGTGAATTTAAGGAAGAAGTATTTTCATCATGAGGAGGCACAGCTTGCTAAGAGAGGTTGCATAGTTTTCATCCTTGAAGGTTCTCCTTCTTGAGATATACATAAGTATATGAGTGTATCTTAACAGGAATCAATTTTGGTCATATTAAAATCAATGTGATCTTTCTATGTCTAAGAAATAGCCCTTTTTAGCCTAACAAGATCAAGTTTTTTTATCCCCATACAGAGTTATTGCAAGAATAGAATTCTAATGTTCACTGAAAACCATTTTTATGGCACATAAAGATGATAATATTTTGACACACGTAATGTGGGTCAGAAATACTTTTTTTTTCTATGAAATAAGCACAAAATCTGATTTTATTTTTTACAGAGCTGGAAATCATACCACTCTAAAAGTGAAAAAAACACTTTTTTTTATGCTTCCTTAGAACAAATGTGAGACAATCAGCATCAATAACCTGATATATGTAGCTCCCAGATCACTCTGAAGTCTGTTACTGTATCACATCCCTAGTCCCAGCTTAAAAATCAATATCAAAAGTAGCTGGCAAGGCAAGAATCTTCATTGCAATTAAGTATATATCTAAAAGTAAATTGCGTTTCAGTTGAAGAGCGCAGCCAGCTAATTCAAATTACAGCAATTCATCTTTGATCTGAGAAAAATGCCCCATACCACGTCTGCAGTTTCATAAAATTTCTCTCAAATCCATCAAAAATTGCAAAGGATCGTGAGAAGCACACACTGGTAATTCCAGCAGCTGCTGGGGCTGCTGTTAGAGGCTGGTCCTGATACACACTGGATGGAGAAAGAAGCCAACCAGAATTGGGATGTTAAGCACAGATGTAGTTAGCAGGCACCTTGAAAAATTCAAGTCTCGTGATACAGGTGCATAATTCAGAGAAATTTTTGAGAAAAGAGGGCTTTTTTTTTTTAAATTATATTTTTTTTCTCTATTTTTTTCCCCAAAGAGAGCTGCAATTAAGATCAAAAGCCTTATTTTAATCATCTGTTCTGCCAATGCCATCCTCAAACACAAAACAGCAGGGAAGAACTTTGGCATCAGCTCTCAGGAGTCTCTTTTCCCTGGCAGGTAGCAAGTAACATCACTTAAGTGGAACAATGCAGGAGTCAAAGAGATACTAACTGATACCACTAAATTCCTAGCTATGGCAATTCACTGTTATATTCAATGTAATTACTGTATTAATTATTTATCCTCTTTCACATTTTAATTTTAAATTTTTGTGTTGCCTTAAGTAAAACAGCCTAAAAATTTTAGTTTAGGTTCATTTAGACTGAAACTAGAGAATTTCTACCTAGAATAAATATCTTTCAACCTATTTAAAAGGTAGAATAAGGATAAAATGCTTCTTTGAAGCCTAATTTTTTTTACTTCAGAAAAGAAGTAGCAGAAAGGAGATGCATGAAATCTGCTTATTTTGTAAATAGTTCACAGCTTTGTATATGGGTCTAATCCTAAAAATATGGTATTCCTTCTTATTCTTCATAATCCAGAAAAAAACCCACAACTCCATTACCAACATTAGGAAGGAAAAAGCAATTTTTTCTTTCATACAAATCATATAGGAAATATATTCCTTAGAGCTCAACAAATTGTTCACACAAACAACAGACTGCCTAAGCCCCATGCATGCTTCTGGTGGGTTAAATTTTTTGGTTTTTGCAATTTAATTTGATGTTAAATTTTATAATCAGAAAATATCAGTCTCTGGAGTAATATATGTGGTTCAAAATGACTTTTTCAATGGCAATCTCCTCATTGATTTTTTGAGCTTTTCTTTTTAATAGCAATGCCTAGTGGAGCTATTATAGCTTGAATTATGTTAAAATAGCTTTCCATTATGAATTGCAGTATAGATTTACAAAAAGTAGATCAAATCTGACTAATGATGCCTTTCTTCGATAAGACAACAGATAGGTTAGACAAAGAAAATTCCAATGCCATCCATCTAGCCATTAATAAAGTATTTGATGTTATCCCACATGGAAAAATACTAGTTAGCCTAGGGAAGACATATTTAAAAAATTAAGAAAGAAATGAGTAACAACAGTTATAGGTCTGCAATTTAAAATTGAGGGACTCAAGGGTAACAACAGTCACAGTCAGTCTTGCTTAATGTTTTAGTCAATGACTTTAGAATAGAAATTGTTTTAAGACAAAATTATCTTAAACAATTTAACTCTACACCTTGCAGAAGAGTCACTAAAAAGAGGAGGAATATAATTGTATGCAGTGTAAGTTTATCTACGTGTACACAATTAGGGACTTCAATTACAGGTACCTGGAAGCAGAGAAGTCTGAGCATACTAGGTGCACAAAATACAGCTATAAACATCAAAAGAAAATATAGCTGTGGACAAGATAAAATAAAGAGTTATTTCCATAAAAATACCAGGAGGGTGTAAGAATACTTTGTACAAATCTCTCATCTGCTTGTCAAAAAAGATTCATTCAACCTGGAAGATGAGCAGAGCATGGAGAGCCCATAAAGCAGAATGAAACAAGGACAATTTTAAATCCTTTTTATCTCTGAGTATATTATACACATGAAGAAAGCCATACATAATAGAAATACTAATTTCAACAATAGAGTAGCCATATTAATATACCCAGATTAAGATCTAATTTTCTCTGTCCAGTAGAAAAATCAAGATAATTGAACTAGAAGAACCATTGACCCCTATTTATTTTCCCTGCCTTTCAATATGAATCCTATGACCCCTAGAAACACATTTCATTTCACATCTCGCATACATGCTTGTATATTTTTTTCTTTCCTATGTAGCCTATTCTTACAGTTCCAACGAAAAATAGTCCACAAAAGCAAATCTTATCCTAGATGTGCAATTTAATTTAGTGTGTCTCAATCTTTCCATGTTTATTCACCTATTATTATATATTCCTTAAATACGTCTTGTGATGTTTTATGTATTTGGAAAATACCACCACACTTTTCAAGGCCTCTAACTACTTTTATCAGTAGTTTCTTGACAGCATTCATAAAATACAAGCTTTAGTCAATGAAAACTATGTATTTTACATTTAACATTTTATCCAGGACAGCAAAAGCAGAAAATTTCTTATTTTACTTACAGTAGATAAATTTCTTTTAATTTACATTTAATTTACAGTGTTATGTTGTCTAGTATCTTGTTTATCTTCATGTTTCATCTTCTAGCTAGACTTTATTATTACTATTAGATTACTTGCTTCATTTTATTATCCTTCTGCTCCGCTGTTATATTTAATTGTGTAACTCAAGTACTTGCTTTTATATTTTGGAATACTAAATTCCATTTAGGACTGGTCTTCCCTCTTCCTCAATCAATTGATAATAGTCTGAAATTTATTGACTTCTTCAATTTTATCAATAGCTTATTCTGTTTAGTAGCGTCAGCAAATTGTAAATACCAGCAAAATCTTGCTCTCACTGTAGATACGTGCACATTAATTTAATCTCAGTGTTGAACTGACAGAGAATTACTTCAATGTCTTACCTCTACTTGAGCTTGAGACAATAAACTAAAGTCTTCAGTACTTTTCTTCAGTCCAAATAAAGTCTCAAAACTTTGATAAATGCATCTCCTGATGTTCACAATGAAATCCCAAAAAAACCCTAGATATGTACTCTCAAGTTATATATTTCTTAAGGATTTTATTTTGTACCACGAATTCTATGCCCTGTATATCACTGTCAAGGAATTCCGTTTTATAATACACCACAACATTTTCATTCAAATTTATAATTAAAAAATAAAATGGTGGTCATAAACAAGGCAAAGACAAAAAGGAGAAAACAGGGGGAAAAAAATTATACTTGTGTCAGCAAAAGTTAACTAAGAGACAGTCTGCTCCTCCTGCAACTCCAACAACAATTAGGTAGGGTCTTTCAGCCCCACTAGGAAAAAAATACTAAAATCACGTATTAACCCTACCTTCTACAGAAATTATTTCTCCTTTAGGACCTCTTTACCTAAAATTATTCTTAGAATGCAAGTTTTGGATACTAGTCTTGATCCAGTAATTTGAATCTATGGATGATTTGCAGAGAGACCTGTTTGACAATAACATTCTTTTCTTCATAGTTCAATTTATAATACCAGCATGTATTGATTTCAAATTATTTTTCCTCTTTGCCATGTGCATATAGAGCTGAAATTCAAGAAGAATGTGTATCAACCACAAATGCCAATGACATTTAATAGCTGGGCTCATTTCAGAGCTGCAAAATCGATCATCTTCAGTGATCTCCTCCTTCTTCATCTCTGTCACTTCTAGCATTCAAGACTAATGGAAAATGGGCCATTGATAGCAGAGTTCAGTCTAGGACAAGATAGCATCCAAAAAATGCTGATGTTGTTGTCCCACCAACTTGATTTAAGGCCAGGTTTAGCTATTGCAAATATGGCATTTCATCTCCAGCTGTTCATTAGAGCCTGTGATACTGTAACTTGCCAAGACACTGTTAGTCCAGTGCAATGACTTATTTTAAAGCTATATTTTATTGTCAGCAAGGAGAACAAAATGCTAAAAATAAAACAAAACCAAAGGATATGGAGAGCCAAACAGCAATGTGATTTTACAGATTATTTTTCCTAAGAGATCTGCCTTTCTTCATAGTGATAAAAAGGGTATAATTGTCAAATTAATCCTTGTTCTAGCAAAAGTTACATCTTTTTCCATTTTCAAAGGTGGCAGAAAACCTGCCTTCCATCTAGACAGTATAGCTTCATGAATAATTGGTTTGCACATTCAATCTGATAGTGGAAAGATGAATATGAATACCCTGCTTATCTTAAATGTAAAATGAAAAAGCAAAATCTGCTTTCAGGTTAAACATTTTTTTTTTAATAGTTCCATTGTCTCACATTCCTTCTGGTAAAACTTCATCATTTATTCAGTAACTCAGGCGTCTCCAATGCATTAATTTTGTAGACTGTAACCTAACAGACAGCTCTTGTTTTGTGAGTATAATATTCCTGGCACATATTGTAATTATCTAGCTTCTAAATCAGAAAGAAGGAAGACCTGAAAGCAGAATCAATTGATTAATGTAAGAATTAAACACCACATTTGAATGAATATCTTGTATCACCACTACCTGATGCTGTGTAAGGAATTGTGCTGTCACTACATTTAAAAGTTTTATAAAATACTTGAAATAAAATTTTAAAATCCATACACAAAATTTTAGTTTCAAAGCACATCATCAACAGAAATTAATTCACAATTCCAAGACACAGATAAGCAACTCCTACTGCTTATCTTCTGCTTGTTCTATCCCTAATGTGGGCCTAGTATGGACTGGTATCATTCTTAGCTAACAAGTAGCAAACAGGCTATGCATCAGTTTTACAGTGTGAATGAAATACAATGGGAGAGCATTTTCTCTGAGACAGACTCTGTCTTTTCCTAAAGTAAATTTAACAAAATAATGCTGTTGTCTCAAGCGAATTAGAGTTCTAATATCATGCTAGCAGAGAATACAGAGAGAAATAATGCAGAGACAAGGCAATGAAGTTAAGCAGATTTAATCAAGATCACAAGCTGATCTTAGACCTTGAAGTGAACTTCTCTCAATGGACTGAAAAGTAACAAATGTACTGAAGTGCAGTGAAAATTTAATTTCTTACAGCATAGTCCAAAATTCCCTTTTAGATTCTTTGTAAGCGTTATGAGAGATATTTCTGAAAGAAGGGACATTTACTCCTTTATAATGCAAGCACCTAGAGCTCATGCTTTTTCCATATTTGATGGTAAGATATTTGCATTTTCCACAGAAACAACAGAATTAACTCTAGTCTTAGTCTTATTCTAAAGCTGCACAGTGACTAAGCTATTCTCTATTTAAAGATATACCTTTTAATAAAGCCATTTTCTGTGTCAAAAACCAACTGGTTTTGCACTAGGACAGCTAAAGAGGTACATCATCTCTATGATAAAATCAAATAATTTATTGTCTACTATAGTATATAAAAGCAAAAATAGTTGCTACCTTCTGTTTCAACTTCAGAAGAAACAAGGTCCTGCTCTAATGCATTGGTTTAGCTATTTCATGACAAGCAGAATATTTTCAGTCTGCTTGTATGTTCCAGAACATTCAGATTGTTTCCTGAAACTGTATTAAGGCTAAACAACTTTAACTTTGTCATTATGCTTTTCTTCTGACAGCCATGAAAAGACCCAATATAATCACATCACCTTGTATTTATCAGACTACTGAAAGCTCTGCCATAGATTTCTCTGGGTCTACCAAGCATTAGTTTAAACCACTACAGTCATTCATGTGCAGAGTTGAGGTATCTCCTTTCAGCAGGACTAAACAGGATCTTTTGAATATCTATATTAGAAGTAATCCTTATTGTAGAAAAGCTACAAAGTACTGGGAAATAGTAAGTGCTGAGGAATAGTGGGAGCAGTGGGGAGAGAAGAGGAACAAAAGCTGTGGAGGGCTATGGAGCAATGCTGGCACAGGGGCAGGCAGAGCACCCTCCTAATCCAACATTCTGTCTCCAGCAGAGGCTACAAGAAGATACCCAGGAAAGATAAGAACAGTAACATATGGTACTTCCTAAGCACCACCATTCCAATTCACAGGTTTAAATAAGGAAAATGATGACTAATGAGGCCATATATCTTTCACAGTTTAAGGAAACAACACAGTTCAGAAATCTAACTAGCAAACTTAAATCCTGAGCAGGAAAATAGATCAATGATGCTTTTCTCACACAAGTCAAATTGAGAACTGGGACCAAAGCTGAAAAAAATAGTTACCAGCAGCAGTTCTCTGACCTGAACATTTATTGCTTTTGGACACAGACTTAAGAAAGAATTGGAAAAATCCAAAGATGATAATTGGGAAAGCCTCTGTGAGACTCTTCAAACAGAAATTGAAATTCTGCAAATGGTATGCCATTTTCATTCTATATTCTAAGTGTTTGATAATTTTAGTTTTAAGGTGATTTAGTATGATTAGTAGTGGTTTTAGATAAGCAGTTTTTTATACTATGCACATGCTTAAGCATGTTCTTGTTGCAGACACACTCCAATATTCATGTGTTTTGGCTTATTTCCCAATGTCCAGGAATATAATTTCTACAGAAAAGGAAAGTACAACAAAGAATTTAAAGATAGGCTTTTAACACAAGAAAGATGTACTGGAGGGGACTTCCATAAACATTAGTTTATTGAAAGCTGCAAAAGATTATGCATTTAGGAGCTAAATTAACCTTTACCTCCAGCTGCCAGTTAAATGGAAGATGGGAGTATGGAGAAAGAAGATGATAATAACATCCTTTCATCTAGTATTTTATTTTGGCCACTCACAAATTCCTCACAAAAATCTTACTAAAACATGTTTTTCTCTAAATGTCAATCCTAACTTCAAATTTCTTTGTCACAATACAGTCTGTGTCACAATACAAAGAGAAAAAATATTTTGAAGTCCCTTTTGGGAAACAAAGAGGCTTTAAAGGTTCATTTTAGAGCCTCTGATTGAGCTCTATGAAGACACAGCTGCCACTACCATCAAGCAGAATGACAGTCCTGAGAAATTTGCATTACTCACTCTTAAAATCGGTTTCAAGTTTCTGGTGAAGTAATGTGACTTACTTGTACTTTATTATTTTTTTCAGAAAGAAAAATAAAACAGCTCAATGTTTAAAAATTTCTCTGTAAAAAAATATACTCTCAATATTTAATTTTCTACAATTCCATTCTCTTTTCCAGAATTTATCACAAAAGAAGTCTTCAGGGAAGTGAATAATACGTGGCATATAATCTGGAGTGTCATAGAAGCAAATCTGAGAATTTTAAAATTATTTTACTCGGGTTCTATCAGATATGTTTCTATTTTCTGTTTAATTCACAGTTTGTATGTGGCTTTACTTTTCACTAAAATAAAGTTTGATTAATTTAGAAGTGAGAGGATGTTTGTGTTTTATCTCCAGATTCAACAGCTGTCCCTCTCTCTGTAGGTTCTTCTTTGTGGTCCATGGCTCACAGTACCTGGTAAACTACATATAAGGCTCAGTTCTTACATTACTAGCTCCATTCTTTATGTACCATTTGTCAAATGAATGGTCTCCTATTTTTAAAGGTAGTGACATGGTCTTATTTGAGAGGAAGACTGCTATTACCATCAATAACTCTTAACAGGAGCTGTGACTATTTCATTTATTCCTCAACAATACAATTCTGTAATGAGCTCCCTGAAATAGCTCAGCTCCAGCAGCACAGCTTGACAGTCCAGAAAAGCCTGCAAATCTACTGAGCTCTAGGTGTCTCCAGTAGTGGTAAGCCACTTGCCTTCTGATAACACAAAAAAATCTTTTCCCCCTCTCCCACAAACCACAAAATACTGGGTGCTATCTTCTGCACTTGAGAGCAAAGATAAAACCTTATGTTAAATGACAAGTCTACATTTCTAGAGGATTGGTGCAGGATTTTGGTTGAATCAGAATCCCTATTCACTCCAGCATGTAGGGTGTGTAACTGTAACAGCAGTTCCCAGCCCTGCAGTGGAAACTGATTTTATTATTCAGGTGCTTACAGTAAAACCATGGAACAGCATTCACTCTGCTCAGCCTACTCTGTGGCTATGGTCTCGTCACAGCCCACTGTGTGTGCAAATATTTTTCAACCTCTCCCACCTGGAGGTGGGATGGATAATTGCTCTTCCATAGTTTTTCTACACCCTGAGCCCTCCAAGCTACAGTGAGTGTTGGTCATATAAAGCTGCAAAAGATGTTTTATTAAGAAGGGAGGAATATATCACTTTTGGAAGCTGACCAAATTCTGCCTTGGATGGAGAAAGTTTTTCCTCTTGGGACGCAGCTGCAGTTTGAAGTTTGTCAAGGTTTGATCTGCAGCACCAGTATCAAAGAGTCTTCTGATCCACTGGGTTATCTATCATAATTCCAAGTGGTTGGAATTATCGTTCTTAACCAGTGCTATTGGAGCTGACATTCTTAGACTTTTTTTTTTGTCTCTTCCCTAAGAGAGATCCTCTAAGGATTGCTTGATTTTAAACAACTTAGTCCCACAGACTTCTATGGGATCATCTGACTTTTAAAGTTAGGCAACTACTGCTTGTGGGCTTTGATCAAATCCAAAATAATAGAGTTACGTATCAAAACATCTACAGGCAGCTAAAGCAGTACCATTTCTGAGTTTAATTGATGAAACATAAATCTGGGATTTGCTAGAATGCCCGAATTTATTTTGATAATTTTATTCATTTAAGAGAACTTGCTTGTTAGGAACCTAACTTCTTGTTAGGTTAAGTTTATTTGGCAGTCACCCAGTAAAACTTTCTATTTAAACTTTGTTTGTCTACTTATAGTTGCTTTTATTTACAAGAATCCTTGAATTTCTTTTGAAGTGGTCTCATATTTATACAGCTCTATGGTCTATGTAGATTAAAGATAGGACATAAACCAGAACTCACTGGCTTACCTTAAATGCGTATTTGAAATTTGGGTCTAAGTGGAATGAGTAATAGCATCCAATAACTACCAATTAATACTATTGATTAATGGCCCTGTATCACCTGAAAAAATATATCTATGAAAAAAATATGGTAAGCTCTTTTCAGAGACTTCAGAAACCAGTTGAAAGTTCAGTTTTGTCTGTGTGCATCTTTTTATGTTGGCTATGTGTGTACAAAAGTCTGTGAAAGTCTGACTACTTGATTACTGTGGTAGAATTACTACTGTAGTAACAGCATAAATATAGCAACATTTGTAATAACCCAAATGGCTAAAGCTTTCAGAATCAATATAAGAAAAAAACCCAAGAATAAAGATCACCAAAAAAGAAAGCAAAACAGAAATCAATACAAATCCTATTGGGCTAAATAAATCCCTCAACAGCTCTGGAAAAACGTATGCCAGACTAAGCCAGTCATTGCAGGGTGAATGTAAGCCATACTAATTTTTCCAAGTATAAAAATATATTTGTCACCACTGTCTTAGAAGTAATGTAATTTTAGACAAATGCTGTAATTCTGCTTTTAAGACTCAAACTAAAAATTAAGCAAAAATTTGTGTTCTGTGCAATTTTTTTAAATTCTCAAACTGAGTATGAGTAATCTTTCAAATAATGAATGCAAAAGAACCAAATCTTTTGTTATGCTTAATAAATTAAAAAAAATAAGAATTGCCAGGTTGCCATGAAAACACACTTATGAATAAGTGAATTCTTTCAGAGATGACATAATAAAAATATCTTTTTAAGTGCAGGTTGCATATTATATGGATGTAGTCGTCTCTTTTTATGACCAAAAAGAAGATTAATTACAGACAAAGAAATACTTGAAAAAGAGGAAGATAGTACAAGCAAAATATTATTATTCTAGAGTGGGGTTGAAAAAAGGCTTTGGGAAAACTAGCTAAGCTTCTATATTGAACCTGGGAACAGTTGCTTCTTAGGATCAAAGTTGCTATCTTAGGATAAAAAGTCTCTCATTTGTGTAGAGAGACAGAGAAATACTTTAGATTAGTACATTTACCTATGAAGAGCCCTGACAAGCATTAAGTCCCACCTCCTTCACAAAAGGGATGCAAAGTGCAGTTTCACTCTGCTCCTGTGACAGAGCCTGATTTTATCACCAAATCACAGCTCCCAGCCATGCTTTGTGAAAGGCCCTTCCCAGCCTAATGCAAACGGGTTACTGCAAAGGAAAATCCAGGATCCATTTGAAAACACAGAGCAGGATAATAATCAAGCCAGGCCATGACATGAGATGGCTTAAGAAAAACAATTGGACTTTCCAAAAGTTTTCCAGCCAGGATGAGTAAGGACTGAGTACAGGGCCCTAAAGAGGCATCTGTTGAACCCTGAATCCACAAGATCACATCTGAAGACTGTGGAAGTACAGGAAGGACAAGTCAGGAGCCAAAGAAACTGAGATACACAATGACAAAGTCATGGTCAGGGGCCACCTGAGGAGCAGCAGACCCAAGAATTGCACTTCCAACAAGCCAGGACACAGAACACAAAACATATTGCTTAGCTGTATAAAAACTGTCCCCAGTACCTTATGTAGCTATTCTTGAAGCAAGGAACATCTACAAGGAGGGGGGAAAAACATGCAAATAAAAGGAATTAAAATACAATTATTTTGTAACTTATAAGAATGATTTAAGCTACCACATTTTCATGTTACTTTATTCATTATTATGAATATTTCAAAGACTAACAAGAAAACCACTACAATACCTGACCACAGAATGAAATTACAGTTAGCTAATGCAACAGTGCCCACACAAATTATCTCTAATTGGTTGACATTAATATGATTGAGCTGCTGATAGTGCCAAATTAATGTCATAAGATGAAGAACAGCAAGAAAAAAGTGCATTTAAAAAAAAAAGTATCTTTAACTGAATGACAGAATGAGTTAAAGAGAAAAATTTCCTTTGTATGGCACAGGGAAAATACATCAACTAAGGTCCCATATCCTTGTCCAGCTGACCTCGCTTATGGGGTCCTCAGTGACAGAGGGAACTGACAGTCTCCAGCTACAGGGCTGGTTGCCTGTTTTGAGCTTGACAGTTTGACAAATCTAAAAAATTAGACACCAAGGTCTGTGTGGACCTGTTCAGGTGCTTTCTGCTCTGATACCACAGCACCCAGCCCGAGTGAATTTGGGTGAAACTGTGGGTATCTCTATATTGTCATGCTGGTCCACGTTTAACCTCATCCCAACTCAGCTCAGGTGTACAGAAAGTCAGCTGGCTTAGCACAAGTCATCTTCAGTTTGATAGTGGTTTGTAACACAAGAAAAGATTTCACCACTGACTGAGCTGAAGAAAGAGATAGGGGGCTTATGAAAAAACTCCAGGTGATTTCCATGAAAAAGATAACAGGCTTAGAAGCTATGCTGCACACTCATTTTCAAGGATGACAATGCAATAAACAGATACTGGCTAAATAGAACCAGCAAAATAGTTGCAGTTCTCTGAAGTTAAATGTGACACTACAGTGTGGTAACTGGGTAATGACCTACATCTTGCTTGTCAATAGAGTATTTAAGCAAGTAGTAGCTCTGCTTCTTTTATTGATTGCAGCTGATGTGTAGTGCTTACATATTGTAGTGATAGCCCCCCCTTCCAAATTCCCATCATTCTTATTTTTCTGCTTAGGATTTTTCAACCCCATATCCGAATGGCTTTTGCAGCTTGCTTGTTCAGTTGGTGAATTTTTGGGGCAGAGTTTATCAGATTTCTACATTCTTTTTTTAAAATATTCTACACCAGGCTACTGTTAGTAGCCCTTTGTGTAGCAAAGCATCTGTATTCTGGGCTGAAAAACAATTATATTTACTAATACCTTCTTGTGCAGAAGGACAGTTTTCACCTGGCTCACAAGTAAAGCTCCTAAAGCCCAAACTGTCAAAAACACTTATAGACGCTGAGTTCCAAGGAGGGGACATGCCAGCTCCCATTCTCTGAAGGGCCAAAATCAAGGTACATCCAGACATTTACAGTCACCTCGAGTCACCCTGCTGATACAGGGTTTGAATGCATTTCCAGCACGACACTGCCATCAGCAGAAGGTTTGGGTTTTATTTAAATTTTTGACTAAAATTTTATCAGAGAGCATAATACTCTATCACTTTGAGTTTTAAAACACCGGGTATGTTACATTATGCTATATACCCTCTAAATGTCTTCAACCAGACTTATACATTAATTCCCTTATTTTATCAGTTTCACCATTCATGTGGTCATTCCCACAAGCTGGTCACCCTGAATACC